ACAGCACAGCACGCACGATCACGACGCAGCCGGGAGAATCCGCTTGTCCGGCCAGCCCTGCAGCCGTGCGGATCCGAGCCTACTGTCAGATCCAAACCCCACGACGCGCTCAAGGGTCATGTTGTATGCACGCGAGACTCTTGCGTTCGGCAACGATCAGACGGCGATGACGATGCGAAGCTTCCAGATTATGGGAAATGCCAGTATACAAGTACATAGATGCGTGAAGGAGCCGAGAAGAAAGTGGATGCGGAGGAACCGTCCGGGGGCCTCTGATGTGAGGTAGCCTCGCGCGACGGGTATATGGGGAACGAGATCGAATGAGAGTGCTAGTTGTCTCGAGACGGCAGCTCAGGCCGATGTGGATTCGCGTCGATCGTGACTGCGCGATCGGCGACGACCGAGAGCATGCTCGCGTGCGCCCGCGAACGAGGCGCGTGGCGAGATCGAGGGGTGCGAGGGCGCTATCTCCTCAACTACACGGAAGGGCACATGCACCGAAACCTTGGCTTGATGGCCGCGGCTTCGCGCCGAGATGCTGCTACGCGGACTGCGCGACGAGAGCGATGCGTGCGACAGCGTGAGCGATAGGGCGGCGGCTGCAGCCGCTGCGGTCGCTGCTGCGGCTGCGGCGGCATCCTTGGTCGGCTTATGCGGTGCGAACGAGGTGTGCAGAGAGGGCCCACGCAGCGAAAGATCTGCGTCTCGGCCGCCCAGCGAGGAGCGACGACTGACCCAGTCGGGCAGCTGCTGCCAGATGTCGTGAACAGGCTCCCTCGTTTCCTTGTACGCGCTGAAGCGCAACGCCTCGTACGTCGCCCTTGCGTTGCCGGCCAGGGCCCAGTCCCATTCCGACTCGTCCGACGACGACGCACGACTTGCCCACGACGAGCTGGCGCATGAGCGAGACGTCGGAATGCCACTCGCAACACGGTGCGACTCGGGCGATGAAGATGCCGAGGCAGTGGTGGAGGCGGGCAGCGAGACGCTTGCGAGCGACTTGGCCGCTGCGGATGCAGCAGCGCTCGATGAAGGCGCTGCCAGTCGAGACTGCTGGTGATTGACGAATCGAGAGTTGCACGTCGACGCGGGAGCCGATGTTGCGGTGCGACCCCAGTCAAAGCCGCATGGTTCGGCGATGGCCTTGCGTGCGGCGCGCAGCAGACCGATGTTGCCCGCGCCCATGGTCATGGGCAAGTCGGCCAGGTCGAGGATGAGGTTCGACGGAAGCGCATTGTTGCCAGAGGCGACCTTGCAGCGTCGACGCTCCAGAACACCCGAGGCGCGACTCTCGGAGCAAGCTCGTGCCAAAGATGGTCGGAGCATGCTTGGTCCTGCTGCCTCGACAAACATCGATGGCTTAGACGACGAAGGCTCTGGCGCACTCGAGGTCCTTTGGACGCTGGGTCTGCGGCTGCTCGTGTCGAGCATACATGAAGGCTCGACGTACTCGTCGTCATCCGACGCGCCAGTCATGCTGATGGATGCGGTCATGGGTTGTGTTGCTTGTGCAGGCATGTCCGTAGCGGCGGGGCTCTGGCTCGAGAAGCGGAAAGTCGAGAGCGTAGCCTGGACATCGTGACAGACAGGATTGAGCGAGCGTCGAGACGGCAGGTCAAAGTAGCTCGGGGGGCCACGGCCAGACGAGCCAGCAAGGTTGGGTATCGGTGCGACCATCGTGTCGTGGTTATGGGAAATGAGTTGAAGGTTGTCGGGGTCACGCGTTGGTCTCGCGTCGCACGCACGTCTGGAACAGATCGACTAGGTTGGCTCTAAGCTGACGGGATGCTGGGGCGACGTTCGATTGCCGTAGTCACACGACTGCGAAACGCGTAATGTCGAGTCGAGCTGGTCTTAGAAGCAACAGACCATTGTGACCGTGAATGCTGTGAAGAAAATGAAGCAAGCTGAACGGCCTGTATGGGGAGACTGATGGGGGTCGGGGACAGACGGTGGCGAGGACGAAAAGAAGGAAGGAGGACCCTCAGAGAAGAGGCGGGAGGATGGAAGGCCCGCGAGAGCTGAGACACCAGGGCGGTGGTGGCTACGGCTACAACGGCAACATTGACGGCGACGCTTGCTGTGACACACTGGAGGAGTGCGCAAAAAAGGCAGCGACAGCGGAGCACCAACGGAGCATCACTGCGTCAGCGGTCGGTGGAAAAAAGAGCGCACCTGCATGCTTCAGGCACGCAGGAGCATGAGCAGCAGCAGCTTGCCCTCGCAGTGCACACGATTCCCACAGTATCGTCGTTGTTATTATACCGCAGATAGGGCTGCATTTGGCAAACGGAAGCAAAACGGCACAGCAGCCATCTGTTCTCACGAGCAGACAAAGCCGCACGGCGGATGCAAAGACGCAGGTCTGCAGGTCAACATTTTGCGACTGCTGTGTGGCAACGAGAGGCGGGGGAAGACGATGCGAGCCATGACTGACGACACGCTGCTTTGATGGCCTCCGCTGCAGATCGCCCGGGACCCCTTGGGCTCGGCAGCCGAGGCACATGGCGGAGCAATCTCGGTGGCGGAGGCAGCACAATTTGAGCGGAGTAAGCGCGAGTGAGCCTGGTGGTGCATGGGGTCGAGCTCTGAATGCCAACAAAGGATCAACGGCTGCAAGTTGGAATCTGCCCAAGGTCAGTCACAGTGTGCGATTGCGACTGTCGTGCGTTTCGGAGCAATGCCGGTGCAGCATCGATGCAGTCATGCTGGATATGCAGCGCAGTCGAGGGGCACAGCGCTGCAAGGCTGGCAGGCAGGCTGGCAGGCACGCGGAGGTTCCCTCGGGCCAACCCGAACCCCAAACAAGGAAGGGCACGACTGTCTGATGACATAGGTGGGAGGAGGCTTGCTCGAGAAAACTCGCACGCCTGCCTCGCACTGTCGGGAAAAACAGCATTTTTCGAGGTTCCAAACGGGCGCTGCATCGCCAAATTCAACCTCCGACGAATCCAAGCTGCACCGGCTGGGCGCGGTTTTGGCGCGCGCGCACTCCGATTCAATACAGTTGGGCTGGATCTCGCGCCAGAAGATCGTAATGCAGGCCCGAGACGGCCTCGAGATCGAGCGAGCAGGCAGCCTCGAGATCGAGCGAGCAGGCAGCCTCACCACGATCGCATCCAGCTCTCCGCCGCCTGCATGCCGTTGTCGCAGAGAATCATGCCTGTTCGATGAGCCAGAAAACTGCGAGGGTGCAACGGAAACAGGAGCTAGCGATGGGGGACCCGACGTTCAGGAGAAGTGAACTTGTTTGGGTCGTGTTGACCCGCCATGCGGAATGCAGCCGGTGCTGCTGCTGCCGCTGGCGCCGCTCGCACCGCTCGTCGTAAGCGAGCCTATGGCACTTCGACTCGAGCAGCGTGGCAGTCGTGACGCCTGTCCGCGTGAGAGAGGGTCCAACCTCGCCTAACGCGCGTGGTCTTGGTCTAGGAGAAAGGCCCCCGCACGGCGGCCCTTGCCCCGGTCCGAGGCTTCCCCTGCCCACTCGATCGATCCACTGAGCCTGGTGAGCCTCGGACGTCGACACTAGACACCAACATTGCCGTCAGCGGCCTTCGCAGTTCTCATTGTCATGCAGGTGTTGGGCGTCCAGCAGAGAATCTCCGGTCGGACTGCATTTCCTGGTCGGCCGGCTCGGCCCGCTTGGCTCCGTGTGGGGGCAAGCGATGGATAAAGGAGACCTCCGCTCGCGTTGCGAAGCGGAGCTTGCTCATCCGAGGTCCATGACCCTGGCCCTGCGGCGACACAATCTCCATCTCACGCTCCTGCTGCGTCATCCAGTTCGCCGGTCGTGGAGCTCAAATGCACCCTGTCTCGGTGAAGGCTGGTCCCAGCCCCAACTTTAAACTGTAAAGTCGTTCTAGAGCAAACCTTCAGCCTTACAGTAGGGTGTGGACCCACTGTCAAAAAGCGCAGCACAATAAAATGTTGGCTCTAAAAAGGGGCTTCGAAATCTCAGGCAGACGTCGCTACTCGCCTCACTGGGGGGAGCTATTGGATTTCATAGGCATCTCCTATCGCACAGGCCGAGAAAAGCGTCAGATGTAGCCCGTGATGTCGGGCTGTCTTGCCGCCGAAAATGAGATCCCAGTTTCCTGGTCGAATACGAGCGACCGCACGGCGAACAGGACGAACGTCGTCTCGCATCGGATCAAATCTCTGCACTCGTCCTCCAACACTTGCTGAGCCTTGCGAAAGGCTGCAATGTCGTCCTTTCCGCGCAGATAGACCTGGTAGGCGATCGCATATGAGGGTGCAGCCTCGCCCTGAAAGTATCGCAGCTTGTTGTCCGGGTCGGGGAGGGCGACGTTGGTCACAATCTGTTCGCTGACGCCGCCGAAAGCAGAGATCACTTGCGGCTCGAGTCGCTCTGCTAGCACCGCATTGTCGACCCGATCGCCGGCTTGGATGTAGTACAAAGCCACTAGCCTTTGCTCTTCGGCCTGTTGCCTGGGACTGCCATGGATGAGCTTTTCTTTGGCGAACATCGCAATGGCACCAGCAAAGTCGTTGAAGTTGGCGCCGTCCGGGCCAATCACACTGCGAGTATACTCGCTACCATAAGCACGGCCTACAGTCAATCAAGCTTAGCCTCGCTGTCTCCCTGTGTTCCATCTTCGACACTCGGAACTCACCCATATGCGCGCCGTCGCGGAAGTAGAGTTCGGTCGCGCCGCTGTGACCGCTCCAAGCGGGTTGGGCAAGGCTTGCATTGCTGTATGCCGAGTCAAAGACTCGCGACAGGCAGTAGGCGAGCGGCGTCTCTTCCGGCTTGCCAGCGCCAGCTAAAGCTCCGTGAATTCGGAAGTGGTGATCAGCATACTCTCTCTGAGTCTGATTCGAGCGTCTCCGCACCACAACGAGCTGCTTGACCGAGGGGCTAGCCATGTCGAAGTCGTGTGTCTTCCAACAAGATGGTCGAAGGCTCAGTGACGGTGCAGGACCTCCGTCGCTTTATACTTTCGAGCTCATAGCTCTGTGGTGCTCAGCATCTTTGTTCGGCTCAAGCATGCCGAAGGCTTTCACTTTCGGCCACTGTGGGGGAAGGGTCCAGGGTCCGGGAAGGACGGCTGGCATCGCACGACGCTTTAACAGGTTCAGATTTAATCGCGCGGACTTTTGCACGGCGTCTTATGGCCCAGCACCTGGCTCACCGCCGTTCGGACTTCTGAGCTCCGCATCCGGTTGTGCGCCGGTTAAGCGGTACAGCAACGGCGATCAAACCAAAGGAGCGCGATCAAGCCCATCTTCGACTTCTTCTACATCGTCCAACGCAATCTCTCTCAACCCTCGGGAGATCAAAAGGACCTCTGTTCGATCCGACAACAGGATGCTGCCAACTACACGCAACGGCGCGCCTGCTGCTCACGATGAGAAGCGGGCTGCGCTTCGATCGACGTGTCAGCCAAAGAGCGGACGAAAGTGGGCAACGATGCTGGCTCTGGTGGTCGGAGCCATGACGCTTGCCTTCCTTTCGCTCGATAGCGCCGCCTCGAACGCTGTCAACGATCGTCTGTGGAGCTTCACGCAGTCGCTTCAGGTCGACACCTCGTCCTCCGACTTGGCCGCGCTTTGCCCGCAGCAGGATCCGTACGATCTCAAGGACGGTCTCGCCGACATCGACCGTGACCTGCTCGCCTCGAGGCTCAGCAAGGCCGTTCAGCTCGACACCACCGTCGGCGACGAATGGCCTGACCCGAACGACGTGCCCGAGCGCTGGGAAGCTTTCCCCAAGTTCGCCGACTGGCTCATGAGCGAGTTCCCGCGCGTGCACGAAAAGCTCGACCTCGAAATGGTGCACAAGCACGGCCTGCTGTACACCTGGAAGGGCACCGACGACTCGCTCAAGCCCCTCCTTATGATGGCGCACCAGGACGTTGTGCCGGTCAACCAGGGTACGCTCGACCAGTGGCGCTACCCTCCCTTCAGCGGCCACATCGACAAGGACGCCGACACGGTGTGGGGCCGTGGCTCGTACGACTGCAAGGCTTGGCTCGTCAGCCTGCTCTCGACTGTCGAGGACCTACTGGTCAAGGATTGGAACCCCACGCGCACCATCCTTTTCAGCTTTGGCTTCGATGAAGAGTCCGGCGGAAAGCAGGGCGCCGGGTGGCTCGCCAAGCGCGTCGAAGAGATCTGGGGCCGCGACAGCATCGCCATGATCATCGACGAAGGCAACCCGGTCATTGGCGCTTCCGACCTGCTGGGCCCAGGCATCGACGTCGCCATGCCCGGTATCGCCGAAAAGGGCTCCGTCGACATTGCGGTCACCGTCGAGTCCGAGGGCGGACACTCGTCGACCGCCGGTGCCCACACCTCGATCGGCCTGCTCGCTCGCGTCGTGGCGCAGCTCGAGGACAAGCGCGACCGTCTGACCGAGAGCAAGATCAGCGGTCCGCAGCTCCAGTTCCTCCAGTGCATCCGAGAAGGACCTCGCATCCCCGCCCAGCTTCGTTCGGCGCTCAAGGATCTGGAGTGGGCATCCAAGTCGTCCTTCGAACACTTGGGCGTCTACTCGACGCTGCAGAGCGCGCTGCCCAATTTCTTCACCTCGTTTGTGCTGTCGGCCGTCAACACGTGGTCGGAGCGCGGCCGACAGCGACGCATCAGGCAGGCTCGCGAGCGGGTGGTTCACGCCATGCCCGCCGAACTGCAGACGCAATTCATCACCACCACGGCCGTCGACATTATCGAGGGAGGTGTCAAGTTCAACGCGCTGCCCGAGAGCGCCACTGCGTACGTCGACCACCGCATTGCCATCACGAGCAACTTCGCCGAGCTCAAGCAGCACTACATCGACGTGGTCTCTTCGGTGGCGCAAAAGTACAACATGGAGGTGGAGGCGTTTGGCCAGCACGTGCTCAACGCCAGCTCGCCGATGGGCAAGTCGAAGCTGACCATCAAGGAGGCACGCAGTGCGCTCGAGCCTGCTCCCTGGACTCCGCTCGACGGCGACAAGGCCAAGCCGTGGCGTCTGTTTTCGCAGCTCGTGCGATCCGTCTGGGTCAATGAAGACGGCGAGCCGGTCAAGGTGGCTCCTTCGATCATGCAGGGCAATACCGACACGCGCTACTACCACAACCTCACCCACAACATCATCCGCTTCGGACCCACGAGCATCAAGCCCGACAAGACCGGCCTCGGCGGCCAGGTCGGCGTGCACACCGTCAACGAGCACTACCCCATCCAGGGGCTGGCTGACAGCACCAACTTCTACGCCGCGCTCTTCCGCGCCGTCAGCGTCGAGGATATCTGATCGATCACACACCCTCGTCTCATTTCGCGTCTACGGTCGCTTGCAATTGATGCGATTGGCTTCGAATTCCTTCCTGTCGACTGGTGGTACAAATGACAAGCATGCGCGGGGTACACGTGAGGTAATCGCGATGAGAGTCCGGGCGGGCGAAGCCGGTGAATCACTTGTCCCAGGCTTGGCTGATGTTGTCGAACATCTGGCGGTAGACGTTGTCGCGTGCCTCAAGGGATTCGGGCACGAGTGGGTTCTTGTCCCAGCCGTGCTCTTCTTCCGGCACGGAAACGAACTTGACCGTCTTGTTCTTGTGGGTGGCGGCAAGCTTTTCGAAGTACTCCTTGTCGTTCTTGTGGAGCAGGTCGATGTCGCCAGTGGCAATAAAGATGTTGTCGGGGAATCGCGCGGTGTCGAGGCCCGCGATAACAAGTCTTGGGTCGCTTCTGGCCTCGAGATCGGGGACGTAGCAGTCGTTGAATAGCTTGACCACGCGAGGGGCGAGGTAGACACCGCTGCGAGGCTGGCGTGTGGGCTTGGGAGGCATTTCGGACTTGCACATGTCGATGGGCGGATAGAGTGCAGAGAGCGCGCTGATCTTGCCCGAGTAGGCATTGCTGGTGCTGAGCGCCATCGCGGCACCGGCGCTGAAGCCCGAGAGCGCCACCTTGTCGAGGTCAAAGCGCTCGGACTGGGAGAGCACCCATTCGACGACATCGTCCGCATCGTCGTGCGCAGCAGGATAAGGATACTCGGGCCCCTTGCGGTAGTTGCAGTCGAGCACGATGCAGCGCAGAGCCTTGACGGCCTGGTTGACGAACTCGCGGTCCTCGCCCCAGCTCGGAATGAGCCAGCCAGATCCATGCTGTGAGTGGTGACAATGCATACAAATGAAGTCAGTTTGGATCACAAGCGCTCAAGCCGCTTCATCAGAGCCTCGTGGCAACTCACCCAGTTTACGATGACTGGCAGCTTGGCGGTGGCTGGAGCATCTGCAGGTCTGTACAGGTCGACGCCAATGAAGCGACCCTTGTCGCGCGAAGGTACCTGGAGCCGTTCGCGGGCGATTCCTGCCAAAGGAGGTAGATTGCGCAGATAACGCTCCGTGCCGCGCTTGAGGTAGGTGACGCCGCGGAAGAAGGTGGCTGCCAGCTTGAGCAGCCAGTACCAGGGCGAGAAGATGCCAGCTGCCATTGTGCCAAGCGGTGATGATGCACGTGGGGAATTGGTGGCCCCAAGTTGAGATGAAGTGGGTGCAACCTGCGAAGGGTCCTACACAATGGATACGGTAAGCCCCGCTCTTCCTGCACAGAAGGTTGTTGCGCGGATTGTGTCGAAGCGGCGGCTGCAGATCCGTATCCTGCGGAAACAACGGAAAGGCTCAGATGGGCACGGCCCGAGCCGGCTATCTGAGCTCCAATGGCGACAATCACGGATACCATCGGGATATCGGCCTCTGATCTTTGGCGGTTCAAATTGTTGGAAGGAAACAGGTCTGACAATCGTCTGTCTTCTCCGCACGTGCTCTTTGCTCAGGCCGTCGCGACGTCCAGCACGAGCAAGAGTCGCTTGCTCGCTGCGTGCAGTATCACGGCCGACAATCGGCGCTTTCGCCGGCCGGAACAATGGATGTGTGGTGACGACAGGCACTTGGCACCGGCGCTGTCTTTGCGTACGGAGCAGAGGACGCAATTGGATGAGGATCCAGCGCTGCTGTCGGTCGTGGTCCGGACCGTTGGCGAGGGATCGACGTCCTGCATCGGGCCAGCTGCAAATGGCCGGGAACAATTGGTTGGAGCCGGTGCAGAGTGACGACCGCTGTTGCTGTCGCTGTTGTGTGCTGTTTTGTGTCGTCTGAAGTCCGATGACAGCAAATTCCGCGCCATCTCGCCCGGACGATTTTTCCGAGACCGGCCGCACCGCCTTGTTTCTCTCAACGGCCGACTTCCAGCGAAAACAACAGCCAACGGAAGCTTTGAGATTGCCGCCGCAAACAAGTCCCTGCAGGCCCGCAGCCCCGCAGCCCCGTTGTGCGGGTCCTTGATCGTCTCGAACCACAGCCTAAGTCGAATCCGAATGCCAAGTGACGTTGCGTCCGCCTCCCATGTTACCGCAATCTCTTGTTGTCGGAATCGTAGCAGCAGCCGTGCTCCAGCCCAGCGGGATGGGTCAACTTTGCCGAGCAAGTGCGGAAAGCGATAGGCCGATGAAGTGCAGATAGCGCCCATTGTTGCAATTTGGCGTGGATGTTGGCCGCAGCTTGCTGCAGTCCTTGACAATGTCGCAAAGTGTTCTGTAGAGAAAAGAAAATAAGCGAGTTGGATGACCGGTATCGCACCTAGACGCTCATGCGCTCATGCACCTTCCACTTCGTCCGTGCCGTTCAGTCTTCCTTCGGCTCTGCAACTCGACCGTCGGAGCTGCGGAGCTTTCGGGTCTGACAAGTCCAGTCCCACCTGCCTCTCCTGTTGGGTCTGTATCGAATCACCTTGCAGAATCGTCCACAGTAAAGCCCACTTCCGCAACAAGCTGCAAGGCAGCCACAGGCGGGACGTGCTGCCCACCTCCAAACAAGCACCTGCATGCACCTGTGGTTGCGTTGGCAAATCAACCGTCGGCTTCCGGCGCTAGGCTACAGCGCTTCATCACGCTGGGGCCTCGCCGGTACGCCCAGGTGTCGCTTCACCCTGTCCATGTGCTCAAAGCTCTTCCTCACGTCCCAAGCTCCAGGGACGTCGTGCTCGCCACCCTGATCGGAGTTCAGACGACCGTCGCCTGCTCGTCTGCCTTCGCAAGGTCGCACTTGCCAAATCTGTGTTCTCTTGCTAAGCGCCTTTGCGATTGTGCCTGTGAGTTCCATGCACCTGGGCTAATGAGCCTACATTTCAGCGTCCGACAGCACTTGCAGGTGTCAGCACGAGACGTTGAGGATATATAGAACCCCCTATCTTCAGAAAGCAGCTGTGTTTGCACATCATCCTCCTCTCTCGCACCCTCTATACCGTCGCCCTTTACCGTCGACGTTGCTGAAATCAAGATGCTCCGTCTCCTCCTCCTAGCCTCTCTGGCCGGCAGCGCCCTTGCTGGCGACTTCACGGTCAAGATCCGTGCCCGACAGAACAACTCTTACCCGCCAGGCTTTGCTATCCCCACAGCAGACCAGACACCCAAGGAATGGCTCGATGCCCTTAGCGCTGCCACCGCCGCGGGCAAGATCCCCGGCATCGCTCCCGCCACTCTCCAAAATGGCAGCCCCGTCTACGCCAACAATGCCGGCTTCGACCCCCACACCTGCTCCTGGACCGTGACCAAGTGTGTCTCCGATAGCGACATCGTCAATGCGCCAGACAATCACATCGCTGTTGCCTTTGACGATGGTCCCACCGGCAACAGTGGCGACCTCTACTCGTTCCTCAGCCAGTACAACCAGTCTGCCACCCACTTCATGATCGGTTCCAATGTGCTCTCCTATCCCAAGCAGTTCGCTCAGGCGGTCAAGGAGGGCAACCAGCACTTTGCCGTACACACCTGGTCGCACAACCTCTGCACCGCACTCACCAACCAGCAGCTCGTCGCCGAGCTCGGCTGGACCATGCAGATCATCGCAGACTACAGCGGCGGCTACATCCCCAAGTTCTGGCGTCCACCTCAGGGCGACGTCGACAACCGTGTGCGCGCCATCGCAGAGGAGATCTTCGGCCTTACCAATGTGCTGTGGAACCACGACACCAACGACTGGTGCCTCGACGACCAGGGCGGCTCGGCTTGCCCCAACGAAAACCCCGGCAAGGATCTAGCGTCCGTAGCGGCTGCTGCTGCATCCGGTATCAATGGTCCCAGGTCGCCCGGTCTGGTCATGCTCGAGCACGAGCTCACCCATGCTTCCATCGGCGTCTTCAAGAACTACTACCCCAAGCTGAAGGGCATGGGCTGGATCCCGAACAACGTGGCCGACCTCTTCAACATGCCTTGGTACAAGAATGCGTGGAACAACCAGTCGCCTCCTCAGAAGGGCTCGGTGATCCAGGACTTCGACATTGGCTCGGATGGTGACAACACCCCCAACAGCTCCTCTACCTCCTCGTCGTCTACTTCAAGCTCGACATCTTCCTCCAACACCACCTCTCCCAGCGGCAACACCGCAAGCTCGAGGGCGGTAACGAGGACCGAACCCACTCGCGCGTTCACCTCGCCCAGCTCTACCTCCTCTCCCCTTCACGCCAGCACTAGCGGCGCCCTCAACCTGGCTCCGGCCTCGCTGAGCATGGCCGGACTCGCCTCCGTCGCCGCGCTCGCGGCCTTCCTGCTCTGAACTGCATTGCCCTTCTCTTAGATTTCGCAGTCCTTCAATATACCCTTGATTCGTTCCTGCATCATCCATATCGCTCGGGACCGAGCCAAGTCGCTCCGATACATCGTTCTTTACAGTGATGATCGCAGTGGCTGAACAGAAGATCCGTGAGGGTGGGCACGAAAGCCTTGTGTCACAGACATGGCCCTGTCAAGAATATGCGAATGTGAGATCGCGATAAGATCCGCACCCTGAAAAAGTTGTTCGAGAGATGGCGCCCGATCTTCACGTGATCGGTCGAGCTTCAATTTTTGGTTCCGCACCGCGTCCTTCTGAGCGTGCACCCGCCAACACGACTGGGCTCTGCGGCCTTCTCCACCTCGTCCCAGCCAGCATACGGAACTTTTGCTCCTCACACCATCCTCTCACCTCGCACTTGATTTCGAATCACAGCACGGCTTCGCTTCCCTAGCGGCGTCAGAGGAACCAGAACGGCTGAAGGCGGAGGCTACGACAGGTCGAGCGACCTCCTCGATCGATCGATCACAACCTGCCTCGCGGCACGACGAGCAGCGTCCTACCCTGCCATCATGCCTCTGCCATACACCCCGTACAAGCTCGCGTCGGCATCGCTGATCGCTCCAGCTCCGCTTCTTGGCGCTCACAGCCATGACGACGACACAGTCACAGTACCGACGCCTCAACATCCTGCCGTCTCGGACGAGCCTGAACCCGTCAGCATAGCCGCACATCACGCGGTCGACGCGCGTCTCTACTTCCCGTCGTCCTCTTCGAGCCGATTCGACGGCGGATATGTCCTGGCGCGCGTCGTAGCTGGAGGCAAAGAGCTCGAGCTGCGGTGGTCAAACCTTCAGGATCAGCCTTCCACTCCTGCTGCATCATCCAAGGACCACTCCTTCTCAAACTCACTCCATCCCAAACTCGCCTCAGAACCTGCGCGCACCTTCCTCTTCCCGGCACCATTGCTGCCAGGACTCGGCATTTTCGCGGACCCGGCCTCAAACCGACTTCACGTCATTGCAGTCACCACGACGGGCTTCCTGTATCGACTCGTCTTTGCGGCGCCGTACCTGTTCCACGACTCTCGCCTTGCATCCGACTGGTCGTCCGAATACCGCATCCAGAGCATCGCGTCCTCCGAGTCGGTCCTGGCTGCGTCACTTCGCGGCACAGCGAACGCGGCACAACTCTACCCCGTCGACTCCGGCCTCGCTCTCGTCACCTGCGCCGATGGCACCATCGTCAAGCTCAGCCGCTCCCTCTCGACAGGCAAAGACGCAAACGATGGTGCATGGAAAGAGACTGTCCTGCGTCCCACCTCGTTTCTCTCGGGCGTCTCGCGCTTCTTCGGCAGGTCCAACGCCGCTTCCGACTCCGAGTCGTCTCCCAGCTATGCGCTCTCGCTCGACGTCTATCCGGGTGAGGTCGGCAGCGCACTGGCATTTGCTGCCAGCCGCGACCGAAAGCTGCGCGTGTGGAACCTCGTGACCGATTCCTGCATTCGCACCATCGACCTGCCTCTCCAGATGGACTCGCTCTTGTCCAGCGATCGACAGCTCGTCGTAGCCGAGGACGACCACGGGGGCGCATCGGACCCCTCCGACACCAAGGCCTTCTTCAGCACTGTCTCTCGCCCTTACATCAAGGTCTTTACTCCAGGCGCAGATGAAGGCGATGGATATGCTCTCTACGTCCTCGCCTACATTCCTGCTTCACCACCATCTGGCAACTTCTTCGCCCTGTACGGCGTACAGCTCGAAGACGCAAAGGGATCGTCGGGAGGCCTCGGCGAAATGACGCTGCTCTGGCAGAAGCAATGTGACGCTGACACATGTGGCCGCAACGTCGAGCTGCGCGACGTGGCGTTCACGCCCCAAGGCGGACGCGATGACGGCTGGGTCCTGTGGGCGCTGTGGGACGCAGGCGCCGGGCCGGTGCTCAAGTACGCCAAGGTTGGCATCGAGTCGGCCAACCCAGACGAAAGCTCCATGACCGTGCGATCCACGGCTGAAGACCTCTCCAAAGACGACTGGCGCACCGTCGCATCCGAACGAATCTATAGGCCCTTGCACGGAGAGGACTTTGAAGCAACGCTCGACGCCACAAAGGAGATCGTAGACGCTGCTGAAATCTTCCTCGACCGTGTTCTCGAGCCCGGCCGCTTCTCCGAAGCGACATTACGGCTCGCACTCTCGACATACAAGCAGGTGGTGGCCGAATCGTCCCGACAGCCATCCACGCTGTTTGCGAGCTTGAGGGACGAGGTTGCCGCAGTGGTGGCGAGCGGATGCCAGCTCGAGAACGATCCACGAACGGGCGGTCCGATGTACGAGAAGCTGTATGCTGCGCGCGTCCGCGAGTGGATGCGCTTCGTTGGCTTGGCCGAGCAAATCGAGACCTCGGCAAGGTGGCCGATCGGCCTCTCGCTTCCGGCGCCTGCGCTGGACGCTGTGGCAGCATGCGGCGACGTTGTCGTTCCGCTTATCGTCAGCCGCGACACCATCGCGCTCCCGGTCAACGAGGACGAAGCAAGTATCATCGAGCGTTTGCAAAGGCGCCTCTTCGCCGCGTCGGGCAAATCGCGCCTTGGTGGCGCTCCAAGTGTCGACTCGGCCAAGGAGGAGCGCGCTCTTCTCATTCACGCGGCGGACACGCACCCGACCACCATCCTACCGACCCTAGGTCGAACCTCTGCCACGGTGGCCGAGGTCCTCACCCTGCTGGAATCTGCTGCCGACCTGTGTGCCTGCTTCACAGCGCCAGAGCTCGAGGCCTTCGCTGCCGGGCTCCAGAACCTCCTATCGAATCCATTGACGATTTCAGTCAAGGAAGCTGTTGCCGAGATTTGGACCAACAACTTTGCGGCGCTCGGCGGCGAGGACGCAAGCGAAATAGTTGCGCGCGTCGCATCTGAGCTGGGCGCCAGCCTGGACAGCACCTTGACCGACATGTCGGTGCTCCTCAGCGAAGTCGCCAGCGAATCAGAGCGTGCTTCTTCGGCGTCGCCCGTCGCCTCTACCGACCTTGGATCAGCATGGACGGCCGACGCGCTCGCGCAAACCTTGGCATCGCGACATCGCCTCGCGGTCTCCTTCCTGCTCCTTCTCACTGCTCTCGCAGCTCAAGATAGAATGGCCGACATGGTGGAGAACGAGAGCACGCAGATCGCTGCGGCGCTCAGCATCTTCCAGACGCTCGGCGCAGCGCTGCAGCTGGCACGAACTGATGGAGCTGTGCAGGTCGCGGGCGACGCCACCGACGCTGCCGAGGCCGACTCGATCGTGGCCAAGCTCAACCAGATGTCGGTCGCCGGGCGCAAGAGCCGCGAGCCTCACCACTTTGCCGCACCCACTCTCCTGCACCAGTGTGTCCGAGATGAACTCCTTCGGCTCTCGAGCTCAGCCTCACGGGACAGCGGCCTGGCTCTGCCGCTCAAGACAGCTGTGCTGGGAGGCCTGTGGTCTCTTGGTCTGTCAGATCTGCGCGACTCGTTGGCCGCCGGCGGCAAGCCGATGCTCCCGTACGCGAATGACCGTCACAACTCGATCGCGTTTGCCATCCTCGTACAGGGATACCCATCGGCAGCCGAGATACTGCTTTCGAGCTTCCCGGAGACTGCTGCCGGAGAGTATGTACGCGCACGAGCATTGGTACAGATGCAGAGACTCGATGAAGCAAGCACCTGCTTCGAGAAGGTGGTCAGCGCGCTCGAGATGCAGATGCACCAGCGTGGTCGCACGTCCGGTGGGCTGCTGGAGCTGCTCCCTTCGTCGATCGCGTCGGCGGAAGGCGAGGAGCGCGTAGCGGCTTACTATCGCCACGCAGCGCTCTTCTTCGAGCCGCTCGAGGCGCTGGAGCACGTCATCAGGTTCTGCCAGGCGAGCATTGACGCTGTTGGCACGTATGCGGACAAGCGGATCGTCAAGACGGGCTCGCCAGCCGCCGATGCCGAGGCGAACAGGCTCGCCGGGCCCAAGGAGGTTTGGTTCAAGATCTTCCGCTGCCAGCTGGCGCTGGACGACTTTGAGGCGGCGTACGCCACGATCATGGCAACGCCGTACGAGGGGGTGCGCAAGGACTGCCTGCGCAACCTGGTCAGCGTCATGTGCGAGGAGGGCCACATCCAGCCGCTCCTGCACTTCACCTTCCCAGGGCTCCAGACCGAAGTTGAGAGGACGCTCTCGTTCAAGGCGCGCAACTCAGACCCGCTGTCGGTGCCGAACTACTACTCGGTGCTATACTCGTATCACGTATTCCGCGGCGACCTCAAATCGGCGGGCGCAGTCATGTACCAGCACGCGGAGCGAATGGGCGAGCTGCATAGGGCGGCTTCGGCGGGGCTGGATGGAACCGACCCGCTGGAGCGCTTCACGGTGGTGGCCGTTGAGCAGGCACAGAGCTACCTGGCAGCGATCAACGCGCTCACCATGCTGAGGCACGAGAATGCATGGTTCGCACATGCCGCCGATCCGGAAGAGTCGGCGGCTGGCAGCGACTCGCTGTTCGATGCAGCGGCCTCGGTGCGCACAGGCGCCGGGAGCAAGCAGACGAGCAGCCTCACGCGATACATCCCAGCGGCCGCGTATAGCCAGCGCGTGCGCGAGATCCGCGTGGTATCGGTCGAAGACGTGCGCCGCGAGTATACGCTTGCACTGGCTCGTTTGGAGCTGGTCAAGAGGTATCCGGATCTGGCGTACTCGACGACGGTGCTGCGCCCGTCGGATGCGGTGCTGCTGTTTGTCAACAGCGACTCGTTCGACTCGGCGTTCGGCATGGCGTGGTGCCTGGGCGTGGACATGACGCCCATCTTTGCGGCACTCACCATCAAGGCCGTTGCCCTGACCCGCGCCAAGGTCGAGCGCGACCGACTCAAGCGACCCGCGGAGAGCACGCGGGTGAACGGCGACAAAGCAGCGGTGGACAACGAGGATGTGCATCCCGAGATCGCCGAGCTGGAAGAGGCGGATGCGGATCTACTGGAGCCCGAGGCGGTGTTCCTGACGCTGTCTGAAAAGTCGGCGAGCTGGGAAGGTGCGGCGGCCGAGCGTGCGTGGCGATACGTGCGCCACCACCTCGAGATGTACGACTCGGAGGAAGACGGACGATACTACCGCGTGGTGCTGGCGCGCGTTTCGGCGCTGGATCACACTTCGCTGCCTTCGTGGCTCACGGAATGGTTCAGCCGCACCGGCAACAGCGACGTGCTGCTCCGCGTTTGGATCGACAACGGACTCATCGTCGAAGCGGCACGCTTTGCTACCAAGTGGCTCCAGGATGCGACGTCGCAGGCGTCGAGCCTGACACGTGCTTACGAGCAGTGCATCTCGAACCACATTCTCGAGCGGCTGCTCATCAATCTCGACGACAAGAGCGGCGTCATCTTGTCGCCGAGGAAGAAGGAAGCTGCCGAGGCGAGGAGTGCGCTGGAGCAGGCGCGCAAGAAGCATGTCGACGCGCTTGCGACTCGATCCAAGACGCTCAAGCGCCAGGCGGAGCAGGATGCCTTGCGCCAGGAGAAGCGCCGCGAGCAGCAGGGCGACTCGGCATCCCTCGGCCGATCCACTACCGGCCTCCGGGCATTCTGATTCTACAATGTCACACAAATGCGAGGCTTCGATATCTGCTCTATCCTCAGGTGGTTTACGTGTTGAGATCAGCGGGACCATGCATGGCATAGATGGGAGGGCCCCACTAGAGCAGGCGACGTGGCCGGTTTCGGGATCGGCAAATCCGGCGAGCGGCTACAAAGCGAATCGGGAGAAAGACCGTAAGCCGTCATTAGCGGCAGATGAATCGAGCCTCGACCACCTTGGAGCAAGGATCTAGCTAGACGGCGAGGAAGGTTTGGCCAATCGTCCGAGACTGGACAGCCCAGACGGCCGGCTGAGGTGGGGCCGAACCGCGTGGAGAGGATGCTAAAGTTCGTGGCAGCAGAGCGCGACCGGAAAAAACGGAGGGCTGGTCCGAACTGGCTGGGCGCACAGCTCGTCCCCGCGGCATGCATGCACAGCTGCAGATGCCGCGCTACTGCACCACCAGTCGGACCGGCGCACATCGCGCTGTACTGTGCCTTGTGTTTCGATTTTTAGTAATCAAGGTACAGAGGCCCAGCTTCGGTTCGGGGTGTGTCTCCGTCAAATCCGTGTGACAGTTGAGCGGATCGCGAAAAAGTCGACGTTGGATGCCGCGAGGAGGTGGAGAAAGCGCTGTGCAGCCGCGCTCAACGTTGCCGTCAACTCCAGGTCAGTGTGAGCCAGTGCTGCGAGGCGCAATGCAGAGCACGGCGGTATAAGACCCCACCGGTCGCAGCACTGCTTTGTCTGTCGCACACCATCCCGCGCAAAAGAGCCCCACGCTTCCCACAGAACCCTTCCAGCCCCATCATCCTCTGTGCGACACCAAGGCAAGGCGACAAGCATCTCCACACACCAAGCACAATCATGCCAACACAGGCGTTCTCAGCACCGGGGCAGGTGGTCGAAGAGGCCAAGGCCGGCGGCCACCACGCCCACGGCACACACAACTACCCTGACCCACTCACACACATCGACCGCACGTCGTGGGACGTAACCATCATCGGTGCAGGCCCGGCCGGCCTCATGCTCGCCACCTCGCTGGCGCGCTTTGGCGGCTTCGACGTGCTCGTGATCGACGAGCGATCCGAGCCCACCACGGCAGGCCGCGCCGACGGCATCCAGCCACGCACCATCGAGGTGCTCAAGAACATGGAGCCGCTCGGCTCCGAATTCTTTGACCGCAGTGCGCCCTCGTACGAGCGTACCTTCTGGGACCCTCGCTCGGACGGCCAGCGCGGCATCGAGCGCACGCGCCGTGTCCAGTCCTTCCCCACCGACATGGAGATTCAGGACAACTGCACGCTCGGACTGCAGCAGGGCCTCATCGAGGGCGGCTTCCTGCGCGACATGGAGCGCCACGGCCAGCGTGTCACGCGCCCCTGGGCCTACCAGAGCTTTGAGATGACCGACGACCCCACCTACCCCGTCACCGTCACGCTCGAGAAGATGAAGCCCGTGCTCGAGTCCACCAACGAGGGCGGCGCACCCATCAGCATCATCAAGCCTACGGGCGAGACCAAGACGATCCGCACCAAGTACCTCGTCGGCTGCGACGGCGGCCGCTCCCGCCTGCGAAAGACGCTCGAGGAGCGCCACGAATTCACCTTCAACGGCGACTGGGTTGATACGCTCTGGGCCGCGCTCGACTGCGTCGTCGAGACCAACTTCCCCGACGTCCGCAAGATCGCTGCCATCCATTCCAAGAACCACGGTGCGCTCTACATCTTCCCGCGCGAGAACAACGAAAAGGGCGAGCCCATCATCCGCTGCTACACCCAGGTCAACCGTCTCGGCGGCGAGAAGAGCAAGGAGTCGGCACTCGATGCGCGCGACAAGGTGACCGCTGAGATGGTCGTGAAGGCCATCAAGGAGATCGCCCACCCGTACGACTTCAAGTTCAAGGGTGTCGAGTGGTTCACGTGCTACCCGATCGGACAGCGTCTCATCTCGCGCTACTCGCTCCCCGCAGGCAAGACCAAGACCGGCTCGGCGTTCCCTGCCCACCGCGTGCTGCTCGCCGGCGATGCATGCCACACTCACTCGCCCAAGGCTGGCCAGGGCATGAACACGGCCATCATCGACTCGCAGGCGTTGGCGTGGCGCATCAACCTGGTCGAGAAGGGTCTGGCTGACCCGGACACTCTGCTCGGCACGTACCACGACGAGCGATGGGCGACGGGCAAGCAGCTCATCGACTTTGACTCGGAGTACTCGGCGCTCTTCTCGGGCGAGGTGCCCAAGAACACGCCCGAGGTGGCCACGATGAGCGAGGCCGAGAAGCGCGAGCACTTCATCAACATCCAGCGTCGCAACGCCGCGTTCACCACTGGAGCCGGCGTGATCTACGCGGACAACGTGCTCAACCACCGCGACCCGTCCAAGCTGGGCGTGGACAAGATCACCGACAAGCTCGAGCCGGGCCGTCGATTGCAACCGGCGTGGGCGACGCGCTGGAGCAACTCGCAGCCGGTGCGCATGATCCACGAGATCCAATTCACCGCACCGGGCGGCTTCCGGCTCTACGTGTGTGCTGGCGATCTTGCCAAGAACATGCGCCATCTCGAAGCGTTCGCCAAGCACCTTGCGTCGCCGCACTCGTTTGTGAACCGCTTCCGTCCCAACAACCGTGCGATGCTGCTGCAGAACAAGGCGTACCACCAGCTGCCCACCTCCCTCAACACCGGCCTCGCCGGCGAGCTGTCGAGCGAAGCCAACCCGTTCTTCCACATGCTGCTCGTCGTCAAGGCGCAGCGCTTCGACATTGAGCTCGAGCAGGTGCAGCACCTCGGTGCGCTTGCCAGCATGCTCTACTGCGACGACATCGAGGCCGGCCATGGCGCATTCAAGGTGACGCTCGACAACCAGTTTGTCGGCGCCCTCCACGAAAAGTGGGGCCTGCCCAACGGCGGAATCGTCATCGTCCGTCCAGACGGCTATGTCGGCGCCATCACCCCGCTCGACCAGGGCCAGTCCGGCTTCGAGGCCATCGAAAAGTACTTTGAAGCCTTCCTCCGCCCAGCACCTCACTCGTCCCTCGCAAAGACCCGCTTGTAAAGAATCGCATCCAGTCCCCAAAATCCAATAATCTTCCCTTTCGCATCTCCCAACACATCCTCAACCTTGCGACAGCGCAGTCACTTGAGAATGATGAAAAGTCCAATTCGCCCGCGCGCAGGCGAGAGGGATGGATTGACGGGCCCACGAGCGGCAGTGTCGAGACGACGGATGGCCCGAGAGCGTGGATAGGGCGACAAGGAACAATGAAGTGCTTGGATACAAGTACACAGTGACATGACTACGATCTGAAGAGACTTTTGGCGAGAAAAAAGGGGGCGAGAACGGAGGCGAGTGAAGAACAAGAGGCGGGCAAGGCTGGTATAAAAAGGTGACGTGGCTGTCGGAACTTCCGACGTGGCCGGGAGCGAGAGGGAAAGGAAGCTCAAAGCATGCTGGCGATGCTCATGGTCGAGCGCGGCGTGGCGGGGCCGTCGGCCTCGGGTTCCGCCGCCTCTTCCTTGATCTTCCTTTCCGACTTGACTTGCAAGCGCGCTGGGCTGGGCTCAGCCTTGATCGATTGCGCAGCTGCCTGTTCGCTGCCAGCGGGGCCGTCGTCTTGCGCGGGTGAAGACGCATCCGAGTCCGCGTCGGCTTCATTGATGGTCTGCGAGCCAGCCTTGACGCCGCCTTGCGAGCCTTTGGACCACGAGAATTCGCCAAACGTCGTGCGGAACTGCGGGTTGGGCTGGCTGAGTCGCTTGACGGGCAGCTCCTTGGCCTGTTTGGCTAGCGCCTCCAGTCCCGAGCACGAGCGTTGCCGATGCTCGATCAGCTCGGCAAAGTTGGACAGCACGTTGGCGAGGCCACTCGACGAGCCGCGGTGCGACGACGAAAATGAACCGCTCGGCACGCTGTGCGACGTTCGAGCGGCAGAGTCTGCCGAGATATCGCCAAATGGCGAGGCCCCCCGCGACATGATGCGCGACTCGGGCGCTGAGTGCTGCGTTGGCGAGGTGGGCCCGCTGTTCGGAGCATTGGTGGAAAGCGGCGCGTTGCCGGGTGGCAGGCGCGAGAGCGGGTCGATGCGTACCGAGCTTCGGCGACGTTCCAATTCGAGCGCCTTCTGCGCCCATTCTTTCTCGAAGCGATAGAAGCGGCTGTACGTGGTGGCGACTTCTTTGGCCTCGTCCAAGAACTTGTCGCTCGACACTGTCGATTGCCACTCGCGCTGGTGCTCGGCAGGCAGCTTGTCGAGTAAGGATGGCTCGTCGGCATGACCCTTGTTGAGTACGATAGTCGGAGTGGCACTCTTCGGCGCTGTCACAGTAGTCCGTTGCGCGTCCTTGCTCTCGGTCTTATCGCTGCGAGTTTCTTGGACAGGAGCAGCTGCGCCAGACTCCTTCTCTTCCTCGGCATCGGCAGCGAGGCGTTCGGCAGTGACCGGCTCGGCAGATAAGGGGCTCTTGGGCGCTGTTGGTGTTGGGGGCGCGGCCAGAGCTGAGGCGGGCGCCTTGGTCGGAGAAGAAGGAACTGGTGTGCCAGCGGCTGGGGTCGAGGGTGCCGATGGCTGAGGTGTGAGACCGAGATGGTTGGCGAGGGCATTGGCAATGGCAACGTTGTGGGATGCGTTCTCGGCCTGTCCGTTGCTGTCCATGCTTTTGGTGCGGTCGCTTGCCTTGCGTGCTTGCTCAATGAGCATCTCGAGCTGCTCGACGCGCTGACGCTTCTGGTCCTGCTCCGGAAGCGTCGACATGTGGCGCCCTACCTGACATTGTAGGACAGCGGCGGCAGCCGCGGTGGCAAGGTTGATGATGCTCGCGCGGCGAAGAGGGTCGGAGGGCAATTGGATCTCGGCGGCCGAAGAGGCGGGGAAGGGGCTCGACGAGTCGGCATCGGCGTCGAACTTGCGCTTGCCCGTGTGCGACTCGCTTGTCATGGGCGAGCGCGAATTTCCGGGCGACGACATTCGCGACTGGGAGTCCGAGACGTGCGAGAGACTGCCAAGAAGCTGATGAATAGACAGTTTGGTCTGGCTGGACGCTGAAAGCGGTTCAGGCGAGGCGAGGCTGGTTGAACCGGTGGTGTTGATGGTCAGGTCGACACGCGAGCCGCGACGTGAGGAGGGCGCACTGACAATAGGGACGTCGACCCAGGACCCTCGACGCGATGCTGGCGAGGATGGAGTCAAGGAAGCGCGACGAGTGGCAACGGCAGACATGGCGCTTGCCAAAGCAGCAGGACGCTTCTGCTCCTCTTGCCTCGATTGACGGGGCTGTGCAGTATCAACCGACAAGCGCTCGTCTGATAGGCAGAGTCGTGTGGTGACAAGGCAGAGAGCAATGCAAGATTACGACAAGGTCGGTAGGCTGACGATGGACAAATGGACGCAAGCAATGCTACGAGTGGTGCGGCGGTGGTCAGTGTCGATGGCGTGGTACAAGACCACTTGATACGAGGTGGAATGATGTCGAGAGGCGAGATAAATGCCCGGGTACGGCCCAGTACGGTCGAAGTGCGTGTTATGGTGCACGGCAGAGAGAGAGGTCTCGCTCGGCGAGACGTTGTCCAGACAGAATGAAGAATCCCGCACGCAGAGACGTCGTGAAGTGGTGGCCAGTAGGAGTGCAATGGTGTACGCGTGTGTCGGTGCTGATGACGGGGAGGATGGATGCGAGGATGAGAGATGAGGAGACAGTGCCAATGTCTGATGAGGACGGGAAGACGGTGTAAAAAGCGAAGGTGAGGAGGGGTCCAAAATGCGGGATGGCGCAGAGCGGTACAGAGCGATGACACCGAGATGCAAGGGGGATTTCGAGGCTGGCCCTGCAAGTCTGCTTTGAGCATCTGCCCGTCTCCCACGTAGGCGACCGGCTCACGAATTCACTAGGTAGGCTCAACAGAGCGCGGGGAGAGGGAGGCCAGCTGCCAAAGGAAATGTGGGCGGGCGGG